AGCTTCAGCATTTTACCGTCGCGCTGTTTCCGTGCGCCGAGAGTTGTTTACGTTATCGAGCGTACACATTGTTTACGTTATCGCGCATTCCGTTTGATCCTATAGAACGAAGTTTGTGTTTACATTAGCGCAAGTTTTCATTATCCCGTGTTTACGTTATCGAGCGTCTGCTGTATTTTGATATTTCTTATCAATTTACAAGTAACCAATGAAAATGCAAGAAGGTCAATTTTCTAACTATTATATGGCAACGTTGTCCCTTTCCACATCTGCGCGGCATCTCTGCAAATTTTATTTTAAACGCTTCTATCAATATGGCGGCAAATGCTCCAGCTCTGCCATAAATGCAATGTAAATTTATCTAAAGATAACACAAAAAAGATATTGTCTTTAGAATTGAAGGAAAAAATACCATTTCCTGACAAGAGTCTGGTTCTGTCGATGTCGACGACTTTGTTTTGTTCCAGTGACCAACAAAATGTCTCCTCGTCCGTCAATCGTTCCGCTGGACACCGGGGACTCCCCCACTTCCGACATCGAGAGCAGGCACGACCGTCACGCAACCCGAGGCCCCTCCCAAGGAACCTGCAAGGGGCAACTGCAGGGTGTGCCTGAAAGCCTTCAGAGGTCACCAGCTGGACCAGGCAGGTCCTGCGCCGAGTGCTCGCAAAGGGTCTGCGAAGACTGTGCGAGTTACAGCAAGATGGACGACGGAAGATACTAGGAATTGGACTTGCAGTGTTTGTAGAAGGTATGTGGAACAGGCAGGGGGGCAAGGTGCGTAGGTAAATAAATAAATGGAACGTGGACATTTTGGAAACTCCAATTTGCATATCAGTAAAACGAAATGCCATTTTTACATAAAACAAACTAAGCAGGTCAAAAGTATTGTAAACGGGTGATTTTTTAAGAGGTATAGGATTGATTTTCAAAAAAAAATACAAAAATTTGAAAAAACGATTAAATCTTTATTTGAGTCGATAGAACGGTCGATATAATTTAATGTTTAAAGATTATTTCATGTACATGTGGCGCGGCTCCGCTTTAGATGGCCATGCGCAAGGTCCAATTTTGGCACACTCTCTCAAACATATCGGCCGGTATCTCACGAATAAATGCTTCAATATTGGCTTCCAGTGCGCTCAATCGTTGCTGGTTTATCCTGTAGACATTAGCCTTAACATGACCCCCGCAAGAAATAGTCCAAAACGGCGTTAAATCACACGATCTAGGCGGCCAATTGACGGGCCCAACGTGAGATAAACTTGTCACCAAACTCGCCTCTCAATAGGGCCATTGTTTCGTGTGCGGTGTGGCATGTGGCACCGTCTGTTGAAACACACATGTCAGCCAAGTCCAGCTCTTCCATTTTTGGCAAAAAAAAGTTTGTTATCATCGCACGGTAGCGCTCGCCATTCACAGTTACGTTCCGGCCATTGTCGTCTTTGAAGACGTAGGGCCCGATGATGCCACCGGCCCATAATCCACACCAAACAGTGATTTTTTTCGGGATGCCATTGGTAGCTCTTGCAATGTTTCTCGCTGTTCTTCACTCCAGATGTGGCAATTTTGCTTGGTAACGTACCCATTCAACAAGAATGAGCTTCGTCGCTGAACACAATTTTCGATAAAAATGTGGATCTTCCTCCAACTTTGCCAGCGCCCATTCACCAAATTGAAAACGTTGTGGAAGGTAGTGTGGCTTCAATTCTTGCACCAGCTGTATAAAATTTTCCATGTAGTAGTAGTAGTAAGGCCCAATTGCTGCGAACGGCGGCGAATCGACATTTCACGGTCATCACTAACACTGGCGGATACAGCGGCAATATTTTCTTCAGTCCTCACTGTACGTCTGCGTGTTGGTTGTTTAATGTCCAGTAATGTAAACTGGGTTCGAAATTTAGTCACAAGCTTCCGATAGCTCCCTCAGTAGGCCGACCAGTTTGTCCATAAATTGGAAGCAGTGCTCGATGCACTCTCTTAACCGAGCATAAATTTTGATAGTAAAATTCAATAATTTGCAAGCGTTGTTCGTCTGTAAGTCGATTCATGGTTAAATTATAGACCAAACTGAACAAGTTTGACAATGACACAAGACACGATTCACGCGTCATCTGTCAAAAAACAGTGTTGCCAAAAAGATACTAGCAAAAAATCAGAATCAGAATTAACCCCACAGCAGTCTATTTTAATTTGATTTTCACAGCGGAACTGTCCCAAAAACCGCGAGCCTATTAGTTTCTGTGACAGCCAGCCTCGAAATTCCCGGTAAGAGTGCACACTTTGGTTCCCTACTAACTTTGCAGATTGTAAAGAGCCGATATGTCTTGACAATTCGGAAAATATGTTTTTTATAGCAGAGGACGAGAAGTAGTCACTTTCAACACGCATCTGCGTGCAGAAAGTAGCTCTTTTCCGCACGCATAGCTTCCAATACAACATAGTACGTATTTAAATTTCGGCAGAAAAGTATCACTTTGCGCACTTGTTAGGTAAATAACTATTTCAGCCTGTAAGCGTGCCTCGGTAACAAACATGTTTACTTTTTTAGAATGCGATTAAGTTGCTTTCCAAGTAATGCACGGCAAATTCATTTAGATAAAAGCTCTATCCGAGGATATGTCTATTAGGAATGGCGTTTTTCGTGTCAGTAGTGATGTATTTCCGCTGGGAGGGCGGGCAACGAGAAAATTCGATATTCCACGTTGATACTGTCCAAATAAATCAAGCGGCAGCGTTGGTTCCCTCAATGATCTTCCAGCTAATCTATGCTATGAATTATCGATACATTAAATCCTATATTACGTACCTAAGTTGAGAAATATGTTTTATTGAGCGAGCGCGCCTACATCCTGAGACTTCTAAGCCCGTTTCAGCTAAAGATTAACTTTGTTAAGTTCAACTTTAAGAAAAGTATTCTTATGCACCGGTTTCGCTTAGTATTTCCTAGCTGAGAAGATTTTTAATCCTACAACGCTGAACCTATTACAGGAAAGAGTTTATTTTATGTATTTGAATGTCGTTTGACATGCTTATCAGAATGAGCCAGTTCCATTGGCCGTGATTCTAATAGGCTAGTTGACACTTTTTTTAAGTAGGTCTTAATTACTTAATATTTGTTCTATACTAAGTGACATATAAATCCGAACACCCAGTTTAAATGGTTTTATTTTAATAAAATGTTGTATAAGTACTTAATGAAGCATAATAAGTAAATGATAAAAATTTCAAAATGATTGCACTGCTCTAAAGCCCTTTGACCTTTAATAATGTGTGGATGCACTCTCTCAATGTCCTCCTGTGGTATCTCATTCCAGGCAACCACCAACTCCTCTCGAAGTGCTTCTAGAGTCTGAGGAGGACGTTGCAAATTGAGCAATCTCCTACACATCATATCCCACACGTGCTCAATTGGGGATAAGTCGGGAGATCTTGGTGGCCATGGTAACAATGTGACATCATATGTTGAAAGAAGTCTATTGTCACTCTTGCAACATGTGGTCGGGCATTATCTTGTTGGAAAGTTGGATCTGCCAGGGTGTCAAGGATAGGGTAAAAGATGGGGTTCTAGAACTTCGTGATATAACGCTGCGCGTTCATGTTACCTCTGATGAAGATTAAAGGTGACCTGGAACCATAAGCTATAGCACCCCAAACCATAACTCCAATAGTGTGATGAACATGTCTTTCAACAAAAAACTGTGGATTCCTCCTTTCACCACGTCGCCTTCTAACCCTGGCACGACCATCGTGCATGCCTAAACAAAATCGAGACTCGTCACTAAAGACAATACTGTTCCATTCCTGATCCCAGAGTGACCGTTGTCTGCGCCACTCAAGGCGATTACGTCGGTGTTCTCGAGTTAAAGGGAGGACCCAGCGTGGCCGGTATGAAAACAAGCCAAAACTTCTCATTCGTCGGTAAACACTTCGCATGCCAATAGGTCTTCCGTGTTCTGCAAACCATTCATTTGCAATAGACCTGGTAGTGGAGGAAAAGGTCCCTTAAGGCCAATAATCTTAGGCGGCGATCTTCACGGTCTGTTGTTCTACGGCGGCGTCCAGTGCCCCTTGCTCTTTGCGTACGGCCTTCTCGAAGCCATGCCTGACAACACCTTACCACAGTGTCTACACTTCTTTGCACTCTAACTGCAATTGCCCGAAAAGAAAGTCCAGCTTCCCGAAGTCCCACTATACGGCCCCTATCAAACTCACTAAGTTGAAGAAATCGTACAGGTCTCCGTAGTCTAGGCATCGTAACTGATCGTAAAGGATGTCAAGAACCAAAATCGGCCAACATTGATTCTTTACTGCGGCTGAAATATCATTTTTAGAGCGTTAGTGAATTAAAAAAAAGCAGTATAAAAACCGGAATGTCCAGCTGATAAGGCTGAAAATTTTTTCACTTGTTATTTACAGTACGATAAATACATTCACCAACTTTATTAAAATAAAACCATTTAAACTGGGTGTTCGGATTTATATGCCACTTAGATAAAAAGAATATATAAAAGGACTGTAGTGCTCTGATGTCACACTGTTTGTAAACAGCAACTGACGACAGCATAATCTCTCAAACTTTTGTACATATAAACATGAAGCCTACTAGTTAACAAGAAAAATATAGTAGACATCGTTATTGTGTCGTCCGAGAATGTAAAAGCACACGATAAAGACTCCAGGAAAGCTGTGGATTAGAGCGCCCAGGGAAATAAATATACACTACACTGTCTATTGCTTTTGGGGCATACTTTATGTTCGTAACATATTTTACATTTTACTGTGCAGATTTTATCGTCCCGTTAAATTGGAGGTTACCTACGGCATCATCACCGTACGATTTTCTTGCCAATGTGTAAGAAGAAATACAATAAAACTATTTATAGGTTATTACTCATGAGCTTAATTTTGAATGACTTTTGAAAAGGAAAGTTACGTAGGAGTATCACTTATTCTTTCTTTTTATGCCTATCATTGTATATATTTTTACGTAGAAGTCTTTGTTCATAAACCATCAGAGTATCAATTTTCGGAAAAGTTGTGCTTTCTGCTCTTACGAATCCAATGTCCATTATTGTTTTTTCCATAAAACGTTTTACGTTGATTGGGAGCTTTTAAGCATATTTAGAGGATACAACGTTGGTCTACGAGTGACATACGGATGATGTTTCTTTGTTTACGATTCGTATCACGTCACGTCATTGCCGACAGTGCTTTTGCAGCTACGTATTAAGCATGAAAATATATCTTTACTTAATCAGGGTGTTAGGGAAATAATATCCGTAACTTTAAGAAGTGATTCCTTGCATTATTCTAAGCAAAAAGTTCGTTTAACTTATGTCCGAAAATCAATCGTATTCAAGAGAAGTGAGTAGCAAAGATTAAATTTTCTCAAACATTTGGCAACGCTGCGACGCAAGCCGCGATACGGGCGTACGACCACCACAACTGATTCATCGAATTGTTTACGTTTGTCTGATATTTTTGTTGAAAATATGCCTTGAACTATTGAATACTTTTACGCAATCCTTTGCGGCTAATATTTCTCATTTAATAACGCTTTCAGTACCGTACGTTTACTTGAAAAAAATGGCAGTACTTACTGGTACGTAGCGATACACACCACCCAATTCCCACGATTATCAATCGCTTATTTGAAAAACGGTGCGATGCACGAAAGAAGAAAAAACCAACATCCATAAATCGCATAAAGTGACAGTTAAATGTATTAGTAATCGCAGCAACACGCGATGATACATGCAGTGCAAACGGAGTACGACGTTGCCAGTTGTGTGAGGGATTTTGTTTGTCTGTTTTCTTCGGAAAATTGTATTTAATAAGCGAGAAATTTATTTTGTGAGAGACAATTAATAAAAAGACGTATCGATACATTTTACGCTATTAGGCATATGAATTTAAATTATTAAGGTGCAAGATTAATTTACTTCATGATTAAAAAGAAATAAGTTCAGCATTTTTTTGCTCCGAAATGGTTGATTTTCGGACATAATGTTATACTAAGTGACATATAAATCCGAACACCCAGTTTATATGGTTTTATTTTAATGAAAATTGGTGAATGTATTTATCTTACTGTAAATAACAAGTGAAAAATTTTCAGCCTTATCAGTTGGACATTCCGGTTTTTATACTGCTTTTTTTAATTCATTAACGCTCTAAAAATGAATATTTCAGCCGCAGTAAAGAATCAACATTGGCGGATTTTGGTTCTTGACATCCTTTACGATCGGTTACGATGCCTAGAGTACGGAGACCTGTACGATTTCGTCAACTTAGTGAGTTTGATAGGGGCCGTATAGTGGGACTTTGGGAAGCTGGCAATTGCAGTTAGAGTGCAAAGAAGTGTAGACACTGTGGTTAGGTGTTGTCAGGCATGGCTTCGAGAAGGCCGTACGCAAAGAGCAAGGGGCACTGGACGCCGCCGTAGGACAACAGACCGTGAAGATCGCCGCCTAAGATTATTGGCTTTAAGGGACCGCTTCTCCACTACCAGGTCCATTGCAAATGAATGATTTGCAGAACAAGGAAGACCTATTGGCATGCGAAGTGTTTACCGACGAATGAGAAGTTTTGGCTTGTTTTCATACCGGCCACACTGGGTCCTCCCTTTAACTCGAGAACACCGACGTAATCGCCTTGAGTGGTGCAGACAACGGTCACTCTGGGATCAGGAATGGAACAGTATTGTCTTTAGTGACGAGTCTCGATTTTGTTTAGGCATGCACGATGGTCGTGCCAGGGTTAGAAGGCGACGTGGTGAAAGGAGGAATCCACAGTTTTTTGTTGAAAGACATGTTCATCACACTGTTGGAGTTATGGTTTGGGGTGCTATAGCTTATGGTTCCAGGTCACCTTTAATCTTCATCAGAGGTAACATGAACGCGCAGCGTTATATCCACGAAGTTCTAGAACCCCATCTTTTACCCTATTTTGACACCCTGGCAGATCCAACTTTCCAACAAGATAATGCCCGACCACATGTTGCAAGAGTTACAATAGACTTCTTTCAACATAATGATGTCACATTGTTACCATGGTCACCAAGATCTCCCGACTTATCCCCAATTGAGCATGTGTGGGATATGATGGGTAGGAGATTGCTCAATTTGCAACGTCCTCCTCAGACTCTAGAAGCACTTCGAGAGGAGTTGGTGGTTGCCTGGAATGAGATACCACAGGAGGACATTGGCCACCTGATCAGAAGCATGCCTAGGCGCGTTGGAGAATGCGTAGCACATCAGGGTGCATCCACACATTATTAAAGGCCAAAGGGCTTTAAAGCAGTGCAATCATTTTGAAATTTTTATCATTTACTTATTATGCTTCATTAAGTACTTATACAAAATTTTATTAAAATAAAACCATTTAAACTGGGTGTTCGGATTTATATGTCACTTAGTATATGTAATATTTATTATGTTCTTATATAAAACATTACGGCTGACTTCTTAAAGGTAATGTCGGCGTTTCTTTGTGACTGCAAGTACAGCGCTAACATGTCAAACTTTTCTTCATTTGAGTAGGAAACACCGGCCATTTTCAACAGGTTTTGACAATTTCGTTTATTATTATTATAAAACACAATTTTAATACCTTGAATCATTTGACATCAAAGTCAGAGCCTCCTTAGATGAAAAAATGCGTTACTTGTTAATTTTTTTCTGACAAATAAATCATGGCCTCCTTAGAAAAAAAATAATACATAAAATTGCGACTGATGATATTTCGATGATACTCCAATCTTTTATGCACTTGTGAGACATGTCTAGGCTGGAAATTTTACGATCTCTCCAAAAAATCGAAAAATTTAATATGTAGTCATAAGAAAAAAGTTGTGGCAGGTTGCGGAAAACAAAAGACGATTGAGACACGTCAAACACGCCATCGTATTTGCCTTTGTCTGAATAATGTCACATTTTGACAGCTGTCAAATTAACCGGGGACACACTGTTTGGATCTTCTTAGACTGAAATACAGAGACGATAATTTCGCTGAAATCCTTGCAATTCCTAACAATAAAACCGTATGTGCGACAAGCACTCAGCGCAGCTTTTAAACGTCAACTGATTATGATCATGAACTTGGAAGAAGAATATTATAATTATTTTTCTCAACTTATGACGATGAGATCCTCCTGATCCATGATACCACGCACGCTCATGTTCAGTTATTTATCTCATTTAAAGATTATTTAATCAACATTCCCTATTTGACGTTTAATTAAAGTTTCCTTTAATTCCATTTACGCGCGGTGGCCTTAAATGTAGGTTCATCCACACGAAGTCCGGATTATAAAAATTAATAACCTAGGCATTTTCCACATCCCTGAATCAGGGATAATCCCCACTATCATAACATACAGACCAAACTAGCGGGACGCAGGACGCTAGACGTGGTATTACTGGGTAATACTCGGCAGTTGAGGGTTAGGAGATGGTCCCATTGCTTTGCTTGAGCAAATAGCTTCGTAGCGCGTTTGATGATAGAGCTAGCAATTTACACTATATTAATGGGAAAATTGGGGTTGCTGCTAACACAAATAACTTCAACGCGACAAGTAAATTAGATGCGCTTAATCCCGTTAGATCGTCTCACTTTTGAAGAGATTTATTAACGTGTCTATTGTAAAGTAGGTCAAGAAATGCAATAATCAAAGTAATGCAGTAGCAACATCTTTAATAATAATATTTATTCAAAATGTTTACAAACAATATTCGAATAATTGCGAACGATCCCATAGAAAGGACTACCAGTTCCTTGTGTATGGGTCATGTCACAATTCACATCAAATTTATTGAGGATGAAGCTTAGCCTGAAGCTGCTATTCTTACAGAATTTGGCTTAGGAAAACGTAATATATCGATCTCAGTTTTTAAAAGCGCAAGAATAATAAACAGAGTGTTTGAGAAATAATACTCGTAACTTTGAGAGCTGATTCCTTGCATTATTCTAAGCAAAAAAGTTCATTATATACTAAGTGACATATAAATCCGAACACCCAGTTTAAATGGTTTTGTTTTAATAAATTTTGTATAAGTACTTAATGGAGCATAATAAGTAAATGATAAAAATTTCAAATGATTGCACTGCTTTAAAGCCCTTTGACCTTTAATAATGTGTGGATGCACCCTGATGTGCTACGCATTCTCCAACGCGCCTAGGCATACTTCTGATCAGGTGGTCAATGTCCTCCTGTGGTATCTCATTCCAGGCAACCACCAACTCCTCTCGAAGTGCTTCTAGAGTCTGAGGAGGACGTTGCAAATTGAGCAATCTCCTACCCATCATATCCCACACGTGCTCAATTGGGGATAAGTTGGGAGATCTTGGCGGCCATGGTAACAATGTGACATCATTATGTTGAAAGAAGTCTATTGTGACTCTTGCAACATGTGGTCGGGCATTATCTTATTGGAAAGTTGGATCTGCCAGGGTGTCAAGATAGGGTAAAAGATGGGGTTCTAGAACTTCGTGGATATAACGCTGCGCGTTCATGTTACCTCTGATGAAGATTAAAGGTGACCTAGAACCATAAGCTACAGCACCCCAAACCATAACTCCAACAGTGTGATGAACATGTCTTTCAACAAAAAACTGTGGATTCCTCCTTTCACCACGTCGCCTTTTAACCCTGGCACGACCATCGTGCATGCCTAAACAAAATCTAGACTCGTCACTGAAGACAATACTGTTACATTCCTGATCCCAGAGTGACCGTTGTCTGCACCACTCAAGGCGATTACGTCGGTATTCTCGAGTTAAAGGGAGGACCCAGTGTGGCCGGTATGAAAACAAGCCAAAACTTCTCATTCGTCGGTAAACACTTCGCATGCCAATAGGTCTTCCGTGTTCTGCAAACCATTCATTTGCAATGGACCTGGTAGTGGAGAAACGGTCCCTTAAAGCCAATAATCTTAGGCGGCGATCTACACGATCTGTTGTTCTACGGCGGCGTCCAGTGCCCCCTGCTCTTTGCGTACGGCCTTCTCGAAGCCATGCCTGACAACACCTAACCACAGTGTCTACACTTCTTTGCACTCTAACTGCAATTGCCCGAAAAGAAAGTCCAGCTTCCCGAAGTCCCACTATACGGCCCCTATTAAACTCACTAAGTTGACGAAATCCTACAGGTCTCCGTACTCTAGGCATCGTAACCGATCGTAAAGGATGTCAAGAACCAAAATCCGCCAACGTTGATTCTTTACTGCGGCTGAAATATTCATTTTTAGAGCGTTAGTGAATTAAAAAAAAAGCAGTATAAAAACCGGAATGTCCAACTGATAAGGCTGAAAATTTTTTCACTTGTTATTTACAGTAAGATAAATACATTCACCAACTTTTATTAAAATAAAACCATTTAAACTGGGTGTTCGGATTTATATGTCACTTAGTATATAAATACCAACATTACAGAAAGTAAAAGAACCAACCAATAGAAACAAACACTTCAATATATAGAATAGTGTATACCTAATATTGACCATACCAATTTTGAAATAAACAGTGTTATTTTAGTCTTTTTTAATCGATTCTGTATCTTTTCACACGTTCATCACTGAAAACGACACAGTATAAGACTTTCACCAAAAATATCATCTTTGAGCCATCATTTTAGAGACCGTACAACATTAGCGACATAATTCTAGAAGCCTTATGAAATAAATGAGGGTAATTGTTTTCCTATAAAGACTGTTATGAATGTTCCAGTGGCGTCCCTTGGGGTCTTGTGTCTCAGTATGAAAGCTGTCTAGGAAATTCGTAAAGCAACTTGTCAGTCTAGCATTGAAGTTTCCTTTCACTTCCCAAGGATGGAGTATTGAAATAGAATTAAATTCATAGACCAAACTGATCAAGTTTGACAATGACACAAGACACGATTCACGCGTCATCTGTCAAAAACAGTGTTGCCAAAAAGATACTAGCAAAACATCACCCATTAGAAACGTTTTCGATCTCCTTCTGCTATTTGAGCTCACCGAAGCGGTGCTTCAGTGAGCGTTGACGTGATAACTACCAGTACGGCAGGAAAAGGTTGTCTATGGACGCATGTGTCTGTTTGACTGACTTGATCGGTTTTATTTTTCTATTGGACAGAGAGGCTAACTTGTGTGCTTTTTCCAGAAAAATGCAGTCTCGAACCGTGCTATCCCAAGACTCGAACGAGAGCCTGCTGGAGATTCCAATCCAGGAATTGCAACGGAGGCACTCCGAAACGCGTCTGGGCAGCAGTGCGGGTACCGATGGTCTGTCTGTGGGGGGCTTCGGGGGCGGCTTGGCACCCCCTAGGAGCCCCGAGCTACGCAGGCACTCTGATGTGTCGCCTTCATCACTCAAGGAACTCGAAAAGGTAAGCTACAAAGTTGCATATCTATTTCATAGGTGATAGTAACCAGTTGCATCTACAAGCTTTGAGCTTAGATCGTAAATGCTATATTGTACTTTTGGTCCCACGAGGGTAAAATCTACAGACAACTGAAAGACACAGCTAGTAATTTGGGTTAAGGAGAAGCCTGATCTGCGGGCGAACATTATTCACTCACTCACTAAACACGTGGACAGGGCGGCCGAAAAGCCTAAAAAAGTAGGATGAAAATTTTACATAGCCTCGTAACATATGTATGGAAATAGTTCATTATGACTTATGGGGTGTTATCGTGGAGTCACTCAGTCCAGAGGTTCAGGGTCATCTCGAACTCACAGAATTTTTTGTAAGTAAATGTTATTATGCTGACTCTGAGTTTGTTATTCTATAATTTATTTGTTTTATACATATTATTGAACCTGTAATAATTAATTTTAACCTTTCGGACGATGACTCAAGTACTTCCAGCGGAAAAAGGAGAGTTGTGCACTTCTTTCTATAAAAATAATCATTTATTTTCTTAGATTCTTTCAAGACCATTGAGGCAAATACGGACCTGTACAGTCTCGCTTGTGTTTTGTCTACGGACTGCGAATGGGGTATAGCTTCATTATGCTCTTATTCCGCTTTTGACACTGTATTTAATATAACCCAATACATACTATACGAATATACATATAAACGTGTACAGAATGCAGCTAGCAATCCTTTAGTTCGGTGACAGCTGCTAGACAGTAGCCAGAAGCGAATCGCCATCTGAATCGATATAATATTCCCTGGATGGCCACATGAATGGGGATTGGATTCATATAAATTGGCTTATACAAGCGGCATATATCTTATATGTTGCACGCGATGTTCAGATTATTCTGGGTATGCTGGATAATATCCCTAGGAATTGTAACAATTGTTGCTGGGATATGGACATACCTACACATAAAGTAGGTATATCGATTCGTTTGTCAATGTTCGAAGCAACCAACTGTTTACATTTGAGTATCATAAAACCAACTTGATTACGTTTTCTGTCAGAGAATGATGATTAGAAACGTATTTACTTATATTTTTGAGATTCTCAATAGAAATGCGATTTGTTTTGAAGGTTTACGTTGCGGCAGTATTGGAAAAGCAAAGCTGTCATATACACTGCCGTTCGACAGTTTCTGGAAACGGACAAAAGAAATGGAAGCAGGGTCATACAGATGAATAATGTTTCAAAATATACTAAGTGACATATAAATCCGAACACCCAGTTTAAATGGTTTTATTTTAATAAAAGTTGGTGAATGTATTTATCTTACTGTGAATAACAAGTGAAAAAATGTTCAGGCTTATCAGTTGGACATTCCGGTTTTTATACTGTTTTTTTTTTTAATTCACTAACGCTCTAAAAATGAATATTTCAGCCGCAGTAAAGAATCAACGTTGGCGGATTTTGGTTCTTGACATCTTTTACGATCGGTTACGATGCCTAGAGTACGGAGACCTGTACGATTTCGTCAACTTAGTGAGTTTGATAGGGGCCGTATAGTGGGACTTCGGGAAGCTGGACTTTCTTTTCGGGCAATTGCAGTTAGAGTGCAAAGAAGTGTAGACACTGTGGTTAGGTGTTGTCAGGCATGGCTTCGAGAAGGCCGTACGCAAAGAGCAAGGGGCACTGAACGCCGCCGTAGAACAACAGACCGTGAAGATCGCCGCCTAAGATTATTGGCCTTAAGGGACCGTTTCTCCACTACCAGGTCCATTGCAAATGAATGGTTTGCAGAACACGGAAGACCTATTGGCATGCGAAGTGTTTACCGACGAATGGGAAGTTTTGGCTTGTTTTCATACCGGCCACACTGGGTCCTCCCTTTAACTCGAGAACACCGACGTAATCGCCTTGAGTGGTGCAGACAGCGGTCACTCTGGGATCAGGAATGGAACAGTATTGTCTTTAGTGACGAGTCTCGATTTTGTTTAGGCATGCACGTGTCAGGGTTAGAAGGCGACGTGGTGAAAGGAGGAATCCACAGTTTTTTGTTGAAAGGCATGTTCATCACACTGTTGGAGTTATGGGTTGGGGTGCTATAGCTTATGGTTCCAGGTCACCTTTAATCTTTATCAGAGGTAACATGAACGCGCAGCGTTATATCCACAAAGTTCTAGAACCCCATCTTTTACCCAATCTTGACTCCCTGGCAGATCCAACTTTCCAACAAGATAATGCCCGACCACATGTTGCAAGAGTCACAATAGACTTCTTTCAACATAATGATGTCACATTGTTACCATGGCCACCAAGATCTCCCGACTTATCCCAAATTGAGCACGTTTGGGATATGATGGGTAGGAGATTGCTCAATTTGCAACGTCCTCCTCAGACTCTAGAAGCACTTCGAGAGGAGTTGGTGGTTGCCTGTAATGAGATACCACAGGAGGACATTGACCACCTGATCAGAAGCATGCCTAGGCGCGTTGGAGAATGCGTAGCATCAGGGTGCATCCACACATTATTAAAGGTCAAAGGGCTTTAAAGCAGTGCAATCATTTTGAAATTTTTATCATTTACTTATTATGCTTCATTAAGTACTTATACAAAATTTTATTAAAATAAAACCATTTAAACTGGGTGTTCGGATTTATATGTCACTTAGTATATTCATTATCTAGTAGGTCATATGATCGATCACCAATAAATACTTTTTTGATCTCCTGAAGTCTTTGTACGAACCTGGTTTAGAAAAAATGCATGGTTTTTGGGATGCCCTGGTATATAATAGACATGTGCCATTTTGGAAATATGCATAAAAGCCATCTACTATCTGTCGGTTCCCAAATCCCAACCAGTAAAGAGTATATTTGCTATTGTGTCAATCTAGAACGGCAAAGCTGTCATTTGGGATCGACCCGTGTTAACTTTGGTTGCCAAACTGTGAGCAACGTACAGTTTCGATCAGAATAACGATTATTTATTAAACATACTGTTTCATGTTTTTTGGATACTCATCAGCATTGTCTAGGCTTGGTCTCTCGTTTCTAGGATAACGAACGGAAGCATAGCAAGTATACACTATCAAGCGTGAGATCTATCTAGATAACCGCCATTTACTCTGTTTATCTAATATTATTTATGCTATGAGCGCATAAGGTTTCTTTTAGAAATATGAATCCAATCTACATCCTTGTAATCATATCGGTATTTGTGAAGCTTTCATATATAAACTGATATAGTCCTTGAAAAATGGCACAGCGAAGTCCCCATTAGATCAGGACGACGACGCCGCTTTGTCAAATAAAGTTATTGCGTATGAGTTTGTGCTTTTATGAAATCATCGATCCTCCTTTCTGCTGTCCAATAAATAAAAGCTCACATGAAAGAAACAAGATTTAAAAGCTTAAAAGCTCTATCTCCAGCCTACAAAGGCCTAGTCCGAGCGTGAGCTCCATTTTCCAATGGACAAAGATGTGCATTCCCGTGTTTTTTTACTTTTTTTCTATGATAAAGAACCATTGCTGTATACGAGTATATATACATGAGAGACACGTACATTAGTCACACATTTCACAGAACTGCTATAAGAATAACGTTTTGTATTCTGTAGAAACTGACAGTGGTGTAATGTAGAAAATCAATATAATTTCATTAAAAATCGAAAAGGTCAACTTGTGTAGTAGCTAGTCGCTAGCTCACACCACGCGCACTCGCCGTGAATGAATCGTGATCGTGTGAACCGTCCACGACTCCGGACTGGTTGGCTTTCCACCTGCCACTCAACACAAAAGGCACGACAGGGAAATCCCAAATGTGCCACGCTATCGTCTTTTGCTCATTGAGAAAGTGTCTATCGTATAAACAGTGAAGACCTTGGCTGTGATATGATGATTCTGTTTCACATAGCGCGTTTTAAAGTAGTCTATAAAATGCTTGATCCAGGTCTCACAAAAAAAAAGGACGGAACTGTAGTCATATCAGTTGACAAATCAGTACAGGATACGAAATCTTGCCAGGTATAGCTTATAATTGTAATATATGTAGATTACTAGTTTCCTTCATTGATGGAAGTGAAATAAGTGTTCTTATTTATTTCAGTTGAAATCTGGAAAGCCATCATCTGATCAGTCATCGAATAAACCAATGAAACCTCTTGGCAGTCCGTATGGTTCTACAGCTGATGTCGGTCCGCCACAGGTACAGCGATCCAGACGAGGATCCCGAGTATCACGACAACGCAGCTATGATGAAGAGGTAATCATTCTTTTCATTATCTAAGTCTTTAGTAAATTATTTACCTATAGGTCAAAATACAAACTTTCTTTTACCAGTATGATACTGGTCATGGCGAATGAAAATTAATAAGTATGTTTATTTGATATAATTCCATTCCAGGTGAAAGCAGCCAAAGGAATCTCCCCCGGTGGCTCTCCAGCAACCGGTCCCGATGGCTCCGCCGCTGGCCTGGGACTGCCTGCCCCTATGCCGAGACGCGCCTCCGCCTATGACGTGTTCGCTGGCGCACCGGGCGGCCTTCCAACCGTTGCAGGCCCGCCCATGGGTAGAAGGGCATCGTTCCGCGTTGCGCCACCCACTCCGGTCGAGCAACAGAGCCCGACCACCGAAAACGATGTGGGCGGGCTCTCGATGCCGATCATCACAGGCGCAGGGTTGGGGGGACCTGTACCGGAGATCGGCGAAAGGAGGATGTCGTGCAGGAGGGCATCACATATGTAAGTCAATGTTTCCATGTTTCTTTCTTCCTCTCTTTCTGCATTTCTTCATTTCTTCATTCTTCATTTTTTCATTTCTTCATTTCTTCATTTCTTCATTCTTCATTACTTTCTTTCTTCATTTCGTCATTTCTTCATTTCTTTCTTCGTTCTTCATTCTTCTCATTTCTTCATTTTCTTCTTTCTTCTTCTTCATTTCTTATTTCTTCATTTCGTCATTTCTTCATTTCTTTCTTTCATTTCTCATTTCTTCATTCTTTCTTTCTTCGTCTTTTCATTTCTTCATTTCTTTCTTCATTTCTCATTTCTTCATTTCTTCTTCTTCTCATTTCTTCATTTCTTCAGTTCATTTCTTCATTTCTCATTTCTTCATTTCTTCATTTCTTTCTTCAGTCTTCTTCTTCATTTCTTCTTTCTCTTCATTTCTTTCATTTCTTCATTCTTCTTTTCTTCATTTCTTCATTTCTCATTCTTCATTTCTTCATTTCTTCATTTCTTCATTTCTTCATTTCTTCTTCATTCTTCATTTCTTCATTTCTTCATTTCTCATTTCTTCATTCTTCATTTCTTCATTTCTTCATTCTCATTGCTTCATTTCTTCATTCTTCATTTCTCATTCTATTTCTTCATTCTTCATTTCTTCATTTTCTTTCTTTTCATTTCTTCATTCTTCATTTCTTCATTTCTTCATTTCTTCATTCTTCATTTCTTCATTTCTTCATTTCTTCTTCATTTCTTCATTTCTTCATTTCTTTTCATTTCTTCATTTCTCATTTCTTCATTTCTTCATTTCTTCATTTCTTCATTTCTTCATTTCTTTTCATTTCTTCATTTCTTCATTTCTTTCATTCTTCATTTCTTCATTTCTTCATTTCTTCATTCTTCATTTCTTCATTTCTTTCTTCATTTCTTCATTTCTCATTTCTTCATTTCTCTTCATTTCTTCTTCATTTCTTCATTTCTTCATTTTCTTTCTTCATTTCTCATTTCTTCATTCTTCATTTCTTCATTTCTTCATTTCTTCATTTCTTCATTTTCTTCATTTCTTCATTTTCATTTCTTCATTTCTTCATTCTTCTTCTTTCTTTCTCATTTATTCTTCATTTCTTTCTTCATTTCTTCATTTCTTCTTCATTTCTTCATTTCTTCATTTCTTCATTTTCATTTCTTCATTTCTTCATTTCTTCATTCTTCATTTCTTCATTTCTTCATTTCTTCATTTCTTCATTCTTCTTTCATTTCTCATTTCTTCATTTCTTCATTTCTTCATTTCTTCATTTCTTCATTTCTTCATTTCTTCATTTCTTCATTTCTTCATTTCTTCATTTCTTCATTTCTCATTTCTTTCTTCATTTCTTCATTTCTTTCATTTCTTCATTTCTTCATTTCTCATTTCTTCATTTCTTCATTTCTTTCTTCATTCTTCATTTCTTCATCTTCATTTCTTCATCTTCATTTCTTCATTTCTTCATTTCTTCATTTCTTTTCATTTCTTCTTCTTCATTTCTTCATTTCTCATTTCTTTTCTTCATTTCTTCATTTCTTCATTTCTTCTTTCTTCATTTCTTCATTTCTTCATTTCTTCATTTCTTCATTTCTTCATTTCTTCATTCTCATTTCTTTCTTCATTTCTTCAT